GGCTCCCTGGGATCCCTCGGGGATCGTGAGAACTGGCGGAGCGCACCCGTTCCCAGCGGGGTGTCGGCGGTCCATGGCTTGGGGTCTGTCACCTGTTAGGAGAGGTTACCCATCACCGTGCGAGTGGGTTTGGAGGGGTGCAGGCTGAAATTGCGCCAAGTTATTCACAAAAGTGTATAAAATGCATCATCCCTCCCCCCAAATACTTGGAAATGCTGCTAAAATGATAATGTTTAATAAAAACATAAATAAAGTGATACCAGCCAAATTTTGGGGGGAAAACAGAATGATGTGGGGTAGGAGGAAGACAGGCAGGACCTCCGAGAGGATGAATTGAGGGGTGACAGGTCTCCCCCGCGGGTGCCAGCCCTGATGGGGAGCGCTGGAGGCGAGGGGACCTTCACCACAGTGCCCTGCGCGGGGGTCGCGATGGCTGATCCTTGGCCGGGGATTTTGGGAAGATTCCAGGGATGGGGACTTCTGGGGACCAGGATGTGCCGTCGGAGCCAGGCAGTGATCCCGGCAGGCAAACCCCAAACTTTCCAGCCCAGGTCAAGCCTTCGATCCCTGACCTCCCATCTCTTTCTGGTTGCGGCTCCGCTCGCAGAGTGGTAACTAATAAACACGGGATGCTAATTCCAATTCCTGGGCTCAAACAGGGATCCAGTGTCCTGCACATCACCCCCTGCCTATCTCCGGTGGCCTCGCTGGCTGTTTTTGAAACCCGTCTTATGGGACCGGCAGCGGCTGGTGGGCTCTCGCTGCTGTACCCGTGTCTGACGGACAAGAGATTGCTGTGCTGGCCTGGGGTGGTTTCCTCCGTGATTCGCTGGGGTTGCTTAGAGACGGGTGCTGGTGCGGTCCGGAGACGGAAATGTTCCGTCTTGGAAATGGTGAAGCTAAACTTTGCCTTAAAATGGGGGCAGGTCTGCTGGGAGAAGTGCATCTGCCTGTGTCCTGGCTCTGCTTTTGGGTCCCTGCAGGTGGTGGCCAGTGCTGGCAAACTGGGACCCTCTGCTCGGGCTGGGCACGAGGCCATGGGGAGGGGCAGGAAGCCCTGCACCCAAATCAGGGGTCTTGCACCGTTGCCGGCAGTTGGAGATGGATGCAGAGATGGGGATGCCCTCTTCTTGCCTTCTTACGCTCTCCTGGTCTCCAAGATGGTGGCTTTGGGGCTAAAGCCAGGCTGTGGGGACAAGGGAGCTGGACAGCAGCATCTGTCTCCTTCCCCTGCCGTGGTCCCGCTGCTTGTGCCAAGCTCGCCCTCCCATGCTGGCTGCCGAGCAGAGGTTGCGGACAAGCTGGTACCAAAAATGTCTCTGGTGGCAAGGGAGAGTGTAGCAAGATGATGCTCATGAATGCCAAGTGCTGTGGATTCCGCTGTGGTTACTAGGGATGCAGCACTGGCAGCCAGTGGGTATGAGACGATGCAAAGCAAAGGCACGAGCAGTAAGGTGACAGAGGAGACGGAGCATCACAGATGCAGCACTTCTTGGGAAAGAAGTCGAAAGTAGAAGCTGCTTTGGTTCCCCCATGATGGGAGCATTTAAATATAAGCGGGTGGGTGTTAACTGCTGCGGGCTGGAAGCATAAGGCAATAAAAAGAGAGGCTGAGCCCCCAAGATGGGAATGAGGAGCCGTTGAAGGCACAACAGCATTTCCCCATGTCTTGAAGCAGGAGGGTGGCCAGCGTGGTCCTGAGCACAGCTCTTCTCATGGATAGCATACGCTGTCTGCTCTTCCACGGCGTTTAATGTGGCACTAGATCAAGGTATCCCCTGTGGCTGCAGCGGGCTGGCGTCTCGCTGCGATTGCTGCTGACCATCTGGACTTGCTGATGTAAGGCATAAAAACAGCTTTTCTGTCACACCTGCAGAGACGCCACCAGGTACCCACCCTCCAGGGGACCAGCCCGTTCCCCCGTCCTGCTGCAGGGAGCTTGTTCCCCGTGGGCTCAGCCCACAAGCCGCTCTCTTGGAGGATGCAAGGTGCTGAGCTGGAACGGGGTGAAGAGCAAAGCTGTTGCTCTTGTCAAAGCCCATGCTGCGGGTGCAGTGGTGTGGATACACCCTCAGTCCTGCGTCGGTTTCCCTGTTGCTCAGAGTAACCCTGACCTAGATCCCGAAGGATCCTGGATTGTGCCCTCCTGCTTTGCGAGGACTTGATGCTTCCTGACCTGTCTCCCTTGCCCAGAGGAAGACCTCTGCACCACAACGGCTCCCTGGGGCCAGCCTGGTGCCTCCAGCCCCTGCAACACCCTCCCCGGAGTAGGGGGAGAGGGCAGAAACCCTCCTGTTTCGAAATGCAGCTTGTGCAACGCTGAAACATGGAATTCATCGCCTGTCTGGCAAACAGCTCGCTACGTCTCGGATGCTGGCTGGCTGAACGGGGATCCCCATCGGCGCATCGCGCGCTGCCGGGCTGTATCAGAAGTTAGTGTCCGTGCGTAAGCACCCTGAGCTGGTGCAGCTGACCTCCAGCAGCCTGCATGCTCACTGTTTGGGTCTGCACGCTGCTTTTTTTTTTTTTTTTTTTTAATTTTTTTACTCTAGCATTTATCATAATCA